GAAGCGCAACAACCATCTGAAATATCACTGCCAACAAAAGAATCCATCACAATACCAGAAGCGCAACAACCATCAGAAATATCACCGCCAACAAAAGAACCCACCACAATACCAGAAGCGCAGCAACCATCTTCTGCAGTATCGCCGCCATCAAAGGAATCTGTCACACTATCAGAAGCGCAGCAAATACCTGTAATATCATTCCAATCTAAAGAATCCACAACAAAATCAAAAATGTATCAACCATCTGCAATATCAGCGCCATCAAAGAAATCTGTCACACCACCAAAAATGCAGCAATTATCCATAATATCAGAGTTAAAAGAACCTGTCACAACGGAAGAAGTGAAAATTTCTACTCAATTATTGATATTACCTAAATCTCTCACAGAGCCACAGGTTGAATTGTCAATCTCACCAACGTTGCTATCAGCAGAACCCATCAAGAAGTCAGAAACCGAAGCTTTGGTTTCGTCACCTCTATCAGCAACACCATCTGTCTCTTCAAAGTCACTTTCACCAGAAGTTTGTCAAAAGAAGAAAATGGTTGTTGCTGCGAATAAAGAAGCGATTGTATCATTGGAGGGAGCAAGTGTGAATGTTAAAAAAGATCTGAAAATGACTGATAACGCAGAAGATATGTCTGAATCGTCGAAATAATACTCGAGATTCCCCAAAAGAAAATAAATCAGAAGACGTAAGTCAGATTTTCAGATTGAAGAGTCCCGTATAGTACAAATTCACTTTAGTATTAGATTTCTTTCATTACTTGTGATTTTTTTAAAAAGAAGAACAAATTACTATTTGTGAGAAAAAATGAAGTTCAAGAAAAGTTTTTCTTTTTTAGTATTGAAAAAACACAGAAAAGTCAAAGCAAATAAATTTAAAAAATTTTTGAATAAGAATTGCAAATTTAGAGTGTAAAATTATTTCATAACAATTTTGACAAAAATCATAATAAATAACGCAAAATTTTTCTCAATAGATTTAATAGAGAAACATGAAAGTTTTTAAAATAATCACAATAAAAACGAAGAAATGCGGGATGAAGAAAAGGAAGAGAAAAAGTGACAGCGCAAAAATTTTGCTAATTATGGATTCGAAATTTGAAAAGAAGATAATAAAACAAGGCGAATTTTACAAAAAACATAATAATATTCAGTAGGTATACGTCACATATTAATATATATTGTTGAGTGCCGGAAGGATTCTGATGATTTGTGCTGCATTTATCAAAATGCTTCTCTTTCAGATGCGAAAAAATGAAATGAGAGAAACTTCACAACAATCAATTTAACTATTATTCTGCTATTTAAAAGTGTTAAAATGTATTTTCACTTCTTATATATATATAAAATTATATGTTGAAATGAAATATAAATTAAGCGATGTAAAAAAGCAACATATTTGCATAGAATACATGTGCAAACTAACGTTGTTCTTAAATTAGTTTTTTGATTTAATGCATGAGCTAACTATAAACAGTTATCCTCTGACCTCAGCAAGATGATTTTTCAGCAATAACAGCAAAAAAACAATGTTTACTGATTACAAGAGAAAATCGTTTCTTATTTTATTGCTATCGTTGAAACAAATAACAATCGGAAATTTTAAGTATCTATAATATTTATTTCTTCCACGGAACCAAATGCTTCCACTGATTTCATACCTTGAAATGTCATCAAATTGGGATCGTCTTCGTATGGATTCGGCTTCAATCCACCACTAATTAATGATATTATCCTCTCCATATCTGTAGTTGGCACACTATAAACAATAATGTAGTATTAAAACTTTTGAAATAACTTTTTTTAACATTACATATTAAAGTGGCGATACTAATTTGATATCAGAATGTACTCTCTTTTGAATAAATTTCAGTTTTTAATTTGACTGAAAAAAGAAAGGGAAAATGAGTTTTAAGTTTGTGAACTTACTTTGCTAAGCGTTGATCATTCAATGCCCATCCAGAATATTGCCGCTCCAGAATTTGTTGTTGAATTTTATCCGGTAATTCATCAAATCCTTCTAATGTGACCATTTCGTCAACTTTTCTTTTAAAACTATAAAAATTATATTTTTTCGATTGAAAATTAAGTGCAAAGAATTTGATTCTTACCTTCCTTCTATGCGTAATAGATTTGCATTTAATAAATTTAAATGATGATATCTGCTTGCAAGTTCGAAATTTTCAAGCATTCTTGTTGGCGATAATGTTGGCTCCAGCACCAGCATCTTAAAAAAATTAAATTAAAAAAAAAAATTTCACATAAATGAACTCATTTTCAATATTTTGAAATAATTGTTTAGTCCATTCAAAAAAAATTCAGTTGAACTTAAAATATATCTGCTAAAATGTCATGAAAGCATTATGATTTTCTTTTAATGAAATAATTTGTTAGCTAACAAGAATAAAATTTTTTGGAAGTTATTGTGTGTTGGAAGAAATGAAATAAGTGTAACTTCGCATAAACTATTCAGTAATCGTTTCATTCCATGTTCCTCTGCCAATAACATCATTGGTCGAATATAAGGCCCTGGCACGACCACTTGGCTTGGATACATATGTTGTAGCATTTTCAGGACCAGATCTATAACGGTAATACCCGCATTCGCGCAGAATGCAGCTAATTTTGACGTTATTCGTAGAAAATATCCGCCTATAAAAATGTTGAACTTGGGAAATTTATTCAAGCATTTGAATGAAATTTAAATTAACCTCTGCGAGTGAAATAAATTTTTATTTACTTGGAAAAACAAAAATTTTATACTTTGTTACAAAGTCATTGAGTTTACAAATAATAATTTTTTTAAATGCTCCGAAATAAATGCAAAACAAACAACAGCGAACCTTGTAAATTTTCCAAAATATTAATGTTGTATAATGATAATATGCCCTTATTAACATATAATGTTTGACCCAGCACTAATAACGGTACAGTATACGGATCTTGTGGTATATAAAAATTAAACTGTAAATGTGACGAGTAAGGACTGATGCCTAAGCGATATTGCCGAGCCTATAATTTGTTATTTTTTATAAAATTTTCTCTCCACTGAATCAATGATACTTTAAATGAAAACTGAAATTTAAACATTGAAATGCTGTTAGATGTACTTTAATTATTGCCGGACAAATAATGCGATGGTAAATTTCGGTACCAAGAGATTTTGGTTCAAATCCTTGTTCGATCAGATCTCTCCATATACCTATAAATTATTTAGTATCAATTACATATTTTACAATAACTATTTGATTTCAATTGTATACTGCACAATTTTTATGCTTTGGCACTTAAATTTTAATTTATTTTAATTAGCTATATTAGCAAAAGATAATGTATATTGATTTGATGTATAAAAATTCGGCATTTAGAAATATTAATTATTCATTGACCTCGTTGTTCGGCGTCGTAAACTAATTCGATAAGTGTGTGGTCCAATTCCAATTGAATAGCTAATTGAAATTTGGATATTAAATCCATCTTAAATAGAACAGAAAAAAGTTGGCGTTATTGAATTCGAATATTAATCACTTAATTGAAAAGAAGAATATAGATTTGTCATTTTATGGCTGAATGGAAAGCTGATGCTTGACTGGAAATGTAATAAGCTATCAGGAAACACGCTATAGTGAGCTATCCGGAAATCTGGATATTTCAGTTAATATGCCTATTCCTTTCTCATTGATATCGATATCTGCAAACGGATGTAGTAGAAAAATAGTTTATAAAATTAATTTAGCAATCTGTTCCACTTAATTAATTTATTCGATTAAGCAATACAAATCGTCTTGGCCAACTACGTCGCACAATATAAAATGGGAGATATTAGATTAATAAGCTAACATCAAGATTAGATATAAATTTTGTGATTCTAGCCAAGATCACATTTGCCCTATAACTTATTGCTGCTCGTGAAAGTGCAAAAAGATTGGCAGAAATTGGTCGCTTAGTATTATATATTTGATAAAGCAGCTCCAAAAAATCATCACGACCGAAGAAGCACATATCAATCATAGCATTGGGTGCAGCATCGTGAAGCATTGACGCTATAAAAAACTAATTCAAGTCCAATTTCTTTTTGGCGAAGAAAAGCGATTAATATAAAATTTTTATTTTTAATAAATAGCACAAATTTTCACAAAATTCAGAGCAACCGCTGCTACTGTTAAAAAGACATTAAATTAACATCTAACATCATGAAATTGATGATCGCTTTAAATTAACAATTAAAGTAAAAATTTGTCATATTACCAATTTCTAATTTTTTCAATCATTTATGCTTATTTATTTTATTCTGATAAATTTCTGATTTTCGTTATATCTAACAAGGATTTAACGTTTATTTCAAGCGAATTAAATTCGAATCCATTTTGACTTTAATTCATTTGATTCTCGTAATACATAATATTTAGTTTTAATCGCACATTAATTATCTTACTTACCCATATAACGAGAATGTACAGCTAACAACGCTTTGTCAACGTATAACTTTTTATTTTGTTCAAATAATAATATTACATCGCCTCCACTTTGGAATGTCGGCAATTGTTCATATGACTGAAATGTTTCAATTTTTCCATAATTTTGAAAGGAACAATTTGAAATTTGTACTTTTCAAATTTAAATTTTACAAGGAAAAAAAACCTAAAAATTATTAACTTCCAAAAATATATTGCAGTTTAAATAATAGATCAATTAATTGGTAGGATTCAACCTTGTTTATTAATCGCATTTCGAATTTAATTCGTTTGACTTTTGTATCCGTCACATTTAATAACAAAGGCGGTATTCGATTACCAAATTCAACTAACAATTTGTCCACTGTACGCACTCCTTGCCGCTTTTCAGCTAAAAATGTAAGACGTAAAGGTATTTCAGAAGGATTTGAATTGATCTCAAAAAACAGATTTTCAACAATAATGAGTTATTCATTTAACAGTGCAATTATTAATTGTATGCATGATACGTGATTTTAGATAGGAAGTGCTTTCTGGAGTGCATCACAGTATTACTTGCAATAGATACTGAGTGAAAGAGAAATGACTTATTAAATGCTGTATATATCCATTTGTAGTTTATGTGATTTAAATTTTTTTTCATATGTGTTTTAAATTTGGGGAAGTTAAGATTTTATAATGAACTTCAAATATTAATGAAGTTGGATAAATGATTTGAAATTAAAAAAAAAACGTTCAGTTACATATTAAAAAGACGGAAATACTGCAGGAAAAAACCAACCAGTTCCAGTTTTAATCCGAAGCTGTGTCGTATATTTCCATTCCGAAAGTTCGTATTGCGCACGGCCATACAATAGCACTATTGGATTGCCCATCTGCAAGTTAAACTTTAAATTAATCGAGTGTAAAATCAGTAAAGACAAGAAGAAATTTAAATTAAATAAGCAAAAAGACTTTTCCTATTTTATAAAATGTTATTATTTATTCATTCAAAAGCTACATGAGCTTTCTTCACTAGCGGGCATAAAATTTTTGGTTGGTCTTCTCTTGAAACTGTTCACAGATCATGCATCACCTTATCAAGGTCAGGATGCACGATAAAATCTATATTTTCAGTTGGAAATTTAACCGCAAATGGCAACGATGCAATAAATTGTCCAGGGATACGATGATTATCGATTATCACCGAAAATTGCAACTCTTGAATAGTTGACCAGTTTGAATGGCAAGTATACAGTACATTCTTGCTCGGCTAGAATAAATTATAAGCTAATGTTAAAAAAAAATTGGAATTTCAATCAAAGACTTTGAAATGAATCAAAATATTAATGAGTAATTAGTTGATAAGCTAATTAACAAAAATAATATCATTTATGTATTGATAATTGAAGTTATATACTGATAATCGGCTTAATTATATATTGGCATTAAAAAAACTATGAAGTTATATAGTAATAGTTAAAAAAAACAGTTAAAAAACTATGAAATGAAGCGGTTAATTTGCAAAACATCACTAAGAAATTACTAATAAATTTTTCAAATTGTTAATAATTTTAATAAGCAGGTACATAAAGTTGAATAATTTAATGATCTTTTGTCTAGCATCTGAACTTTTTACATGCGGTAAAACTACCATTGAAGTAATTTCGCCAATTATTTGTCACTAGGCTAACTTAAACTTAACAAAAGCAAAAAGTTAGCAATCAGTTTTTAACTCATTTTCATGAATTTTTTAAAAATCCGATCAATTATTTTGAATCTTTCATGATTCTTCTAAAACTTTGGACATACTTTTTGCAGTTTTTTCTCATTAATGCATCAAAAATAAAAGTTAAGGTAATCTTCATCTCTTGGAATCAGAGAACAAATTGCTTTATCAAATTTTTATCGTCAAAATAACAAAAATTTGCTATTTAAAATTTTCAAGTTGTTTCGATTAGCAGAATTCATATTTATACATTTGGGAGAGAGACCTGCTGAGAAATGCTAATTTGTTGATTTATAGTATTCATTCCACCGATTTGTGAAGTGTGCATATAAAACAATAAAATAAAATTAAATATTTACATACTTATGTTTTAAATAAATATCATCCAATCATTTGCATTGTTAATATTTAGATATAAATATATTTTTTGTTAAAATACTTCTCATAACTTTTTGTTTGAAATATTTTTTTTTTCTTGAGATCATTTAATTTTAAAATGTAAGGGAATAACCAGGAAATTATTTTTTTACAAAACATAAATTCATTTCTTCAAAAAACAAGTGGAATTCATTTTTCTTCTCAAATATCACAAATTTTATTATATCGTGCAAAATAAAAACACGTACATGAGCGGTAACATGAAATGATTTAAGTGCAATGTATCTCTACCGAAATGTTGAATATCAATAACTAACTTTGCCATAAACAGATCTCATATTATGCAGTACGCTTTTAAATTCACTTGTTACAAAAAAGTCTATTCATAATATTCAATTCATCTGACAACAGCCATTCTTCCTAAATTCTACTCGTCTAAAATATTTCATTAAATTATTACTGACATTTTCACAAAAAAATTTTTATAATGACATATTTCACTTCACTACTTCTTAAAGAATTAAGGCTAATTTTACTTCGTTGAATTCAAATACTTGAAGTCAGAGAAGGACAATATCAAGTGACTGAATAATGAATTATTATTTTTATGAAAGGATTCCAATCATATATCTAGGATTCATTCAGCATAATATTTATCACTATTAGAATCAATGATAGTATCATTGTAGCATATAACAGTGATTTCTGGATGTATCCCAAATGAAAGATTTCTGAAATAAAGCAGAAAAATTTACCAACTGTCGACTTATATTTTTCATAGCAAAGATTAATAATTTTTTCAATAAAGTTTTCAATTAATATATAATTTTCTGATCTTTTGAAGAAGTCAAGTTTAAATCAAATTCATACACTATTACTTCAAAACCTAATTTTTCAAATTAAAACAAACAAAAAAGCAAATAAAACGAAAAAAATAATTGCTATATATTCTTAAAAAAAGATAACCTTAAGATAATTTTTCAAGTAATATTATCATAAAATCATTGTAACTATCTGGTGAATAAGCAATACAATAATTTTTTGATAGATTTTTGTTAGAATTTCGGCTGAATAATTTTTTTTCGAAGTACGAAAAGTGCGATTGAAAAAATTAAAGTAAGGGTGAATTACTTATTGTCAGTAAAGTACTTTTTACATAAATTTTTGTAGTTCGTTTTGCTAAATTGTTCGACTAAAAAAAGCAATAAAGGATAAAATTATTTTTAAATCACTTTAATTTACATTAAATTTAAAATGGAATTTCGGAACAAATTCATTTTTCGTTAATATGGGCTACAACTCGAAAAAGTAAATCGTTTTCCATTGTGGGATTTCAATTTTCAAACAATCCAATTTAAATGTAAACTGTGTTTTCTCATTGTTGCAGATCGATTTGACGGTTACGTGTCCAATTCGGTCTTCTGAAAGTGGCGGTGTTACGTTGTGCTTTTCCGGGAAGTGGAGTACTGTATTCTGCTTTCTTGGAAATTTTAAACTATATCCGGCTTTTACGAAATTCAATTGAGTTATATTCAACTGTACATAATTGATACCATTTGTATAATTATAGGATTGTTACAATAGAAGTACCTTTTTCTAAAATTGCTATTTTCAACACATTTCAGGAAAATAATTTTGGAACGAAATTAGAATTGGATTAGTAAAATTAGATTCACATATCAGCTGTTTAATTGATACACTGGTTGGATGGCCGATGTTAAAAATAGAATCTCCTTAATGCATGATTCCGAACATCAGCCAAATACTTAAATAATTTACAGGAATGGGACTTACCAAGCAGTATCTGCGATATACACACGACGGCACCTGTAATGTAGTAGCATCCAGTAGTGGGACTGTTGCAGCCATCACCGATAATATCTGCGCTGTATCGGCATGCGAAAATGTCCACTTTTATAATATGAAAATAGGTGAAAAAGTAAGTTTCTGCTTTTTGCCTTTTTTGTCAAAACTGATTTTGAAAATTTAATTAAAATTTGTGAAATTCCGTTAAAGCTTAGAGCTTATATATTAGCTTATACATTTCGAGATAGAGATTTTTTGACTGAAGCTTAAATTTAAATTGAAAGAGACATTCTGGACAATTTTTAAAATTGAAGAAAATCAGAAAGATTCATGAGTTGCCGTACTAGCTGGCCAATTTTCTTTTGCAAGAGGCAATTATCGATTATCTGAAGTTGAGGAAAAAGATCTTTGAATTGCTTGAGTGTGAATTTCAAACTTTGGTGCTGCAGACCTTTTTGATCTTGTGGGTTAGATTCGAAGCTTGCAAAAAAGTGATTCAGGAGTTTCTATTTTAGGTTGATGAGATTAAAGGGTCGGATAAGTGCATTTCAACTGTTAAATTCAGTGAGAATCGACGGTTCTTTGCCATTGGATATGTGGATGGAACAGTGCGCTTGTACGATCGAAAAAGCAGCGGTTTGAAATCACTTATTTTGATGTGGTACCATTGAGTTGTCAGCATGATAAGATTTATATAGCTAATTAGTCTTTTGAATAAGATTGATATCCTTTCCATTAACGTCTATTTATGCTTCGCTTCCTATACAGTCATATGAAAATCGAATATTGCAGCTATCCGGAAGCGACTATTTTGTATAAGCAGAAAAATTGCTTATTTTTAATGAAAAATTACATTTTAGTGTTTGACAGAAATTGAAAAATCTTTAGGAAAATTATTTCAAATAAATCTGAACTTCTTTCCAAAATTTAGATCGGTCGATGTATGTCACATTTGTTGGACATAGAACAGGTGTTAACTGTATTGCATTTAGTAAGGACGGTCTGACTTTGGCAACAGGTGGAAAGGTATCTTTTGAATTTTTGAGTTTTTGAAGATTTTGTGCGAATACACACATATAATTATAGCACATTGATCGTTTGATACACTGATTTGTTGAACTTTAAATTTTTCCAATAATACGAAGCATGGTTTTGAACATTTTAATCCCAATATAAATTCTTCAAGTTCAAATTTCTATTCATTCTATTGTGACTCCAACACTTTTGAAACATCTCTAATTTCCTATTTTTGGGAAAGGCTTTTGAAAAATTTTTAGATCCTTTATGTTTATTTGTTTCAGTGCATGAGTGTCTTATAATTACAGGATTCAGCAGTGGTAATTTGGGATATTGTAAATGAATCTGGTTTATTCCGTTTAAACGGACATAAAAATTCTGTGACACATTTACAGTTTACATTAAATGGACGATTTCTTATTAGCAGGTATTTTTTGTTCTTTTATTTCACACCGCTTTCTTATAGAATATTGTAATAACGTTATTTTTTGAAATATTCGAAAGTAAATGTTGGGAACTTTAAGCAGCGCGTTGCAATTTTTTGGACATTCTTATTTTTAGCTCGAAAGATACCTATGTGAAGTTCTGGAGTTTAGATTCGAAAAGTTGTTTCTTCACCATAACAGATTGCCATTCTGAGGTATCGCTTTTAATAATTAGATTTTGTTTTCTTTTATTTATTCCATTTTGTTCTATGTTTCTAAAAATATTTATTAAGTTTGAATGGAAAGCTAAAAATGAGCTGATTATAAACATTATAGGATAATGTATCACATTGTTGCTTTAGTTTTGTTAATTTCTGCTTTTTTCACCTTTTGCTTAAAGGTTTATACGTTTTCATTGCTCAAAAACGACAGTTTCTTACTGGTTGGATCCGCAGAATTGGAATTACGAGTCTTTGATCTTCACTGGTTCGAAAAAGAGGAGCTAGATGATCAAGATGATAACTCGACAAAGAAATTGAAAACTGGTGAAAACTCTGTTGGATTTAGTGAGGATACGCAAGCGAATGTGAGTATTTTAAAAATTTAAAGGGAAAATTTTCAAAGAGAAAGTAATAATGGGAAGTGCTTTGTTTTTTTTTTTGAAAAATTTTGGAGACTTTCGAAGTTATGAAAAATATTTATTTCTGTCAACTTTTATGAATGATTTTATTTTTCAGACCATTGTACGTTGTGTGAAAAAGGGACAAATTTTGAGACGCTCTCGAGGACGCACTCTTCAGCTTGCTGTTAGCCGGGATGAAAAACTTATTGCATGTGTGGTAAGCATGTGCAGTTGATTTTTTCTGCTGAAATGATACTGAATTTTGTTGACTATTCTTTTTCAAATTAGATTAACTTCAAAGGAAAAAAGATATGATTTGTGAAGATTATGTTTTTCGAAATTTTTTTTGCTATCCAGACAAATGCGTTGAAGTAAAAATTCTTGTCTTTAGCTGTACCAGTTTCTGATTTCGTGGCAGCAGCATTTCAAAAATTATTTTGATTTTTTATGAACAAACTGAAGAAGGGAATTGTTTAGGGCTCGTTACATTGCATTGACATTTTCCGGATCTATAATGATGATGAATCACAAAAACGCCTAATGAAGAAGCTTCGGAAAGCTCGGAAAAAGTTAGCTGGAAGGTACTTCTGCTGAACATTTTGGAATTTTCCTCTTGATATATTCAGTTAGTGATGCCGTCAGAAATTTGCATGAATAAAGGTAACAGGTTATTAATTGGAAGTTGTAGTGGTGGCGCGGAAGCGATTTCGGAAACAGATATTGCAAAAGATGTCAGCATTTTAATCTCACGGATAGGCGAATACAAACCAAGTGGGAAAGTGAAATGGGTTGATTTTAGTTCAGCTGTGAAACGATGTGGAGGTGAAATACGCCAATATCAAGTTTGTTATGCTTTTATTATTGAAAAGTGCAGTTGCATAAGCAAGCGTTTGAGTCTACATAAGTAAGTTCATAAAAGTGAAAGTTTTGAATTCATACCTCAATTTTGGTTAAAAAATTTTAAACAATACCTGTATTAAAGAAATGAAATATCAAACGATTAGTAATATCTCCTTTTGACTTTAAGTCCGATATGGGCAATATTATGACTGTACATGGATATCTTATGTTTCCTTCTTGAACTGTCTTTTTGTTTCACATTCACTTTGCTGTCTTAATCACTTGCATATTTCAAACAGTTGCTCACTTTTCTGTAGTGTTGGGGCAGATATTATATGGAATTAGTTAATTTAATTTCTTTTTAATTCAGTTATATGTGCTTTACGCAATGAATACAGTGCTGTCTGAAGCGGTCTTTGTCGATTTCAACTCAAATGAAGTACAATTTGCTGATTTGGCTGACTTGAATCGGGTTAGCAGTACCTATAACGATTGTAACAAATCATGGCTGAATGATTTTCAGGATTCTAGTTTAATTTTTTTAGTTAGGTCATCGCACGGATGTTCGATGTCTTGCAGTTGCAGAAAGTGGATTCGGCTTTGTATCAGGAAGCACAGAATCTGCTGTCGTATGGAACTTGCATAGCCTTAAGGTGGAAAATTTTATTTTTTTGGTTTTCAAAATCCTTAGATAGGAAGTTTTTTAAACAATTTAAATTTTAAAATTTCGAAATATTGCGTAAATTTGATAAAACTAAATGCAGTTTAATCCTTCTGTTATTTCGTAGATTTCGCACACACTAGTGGATGAGCAAATGATCGATATCACCGCGTCACTGTTTGTCACAGGCGATAAGCATGTTGTTTTAGCGACAAAAGTTAGTTCACGTTCAGTAACTTGAAATCGTTATTAGCCTCTTCGACTTGAAATTTTATTAATATATTCTTAATTATTTAAAAGGTGAAAATTTTTAGGAAGGCAATATATTTCTGTTTGAATTAGCAACGAATGAAATGCTTGAAATGGTTAAAAAAGCTCACACTGGAGCTATTTGGCAGCTTGTTTCAACACCTGATAAGGTACAATACTGACTAATTTATAATTTCACAATTATGAAGCTCGTTTAAATATAAGATTCTAAATAGTTCACTGTTGTAGTTCTGAATTTTTATCGAATTTTAGAAAGGATTCATCTCCTGCGGTAATGACAAGACGGTTCGATATTGGAATTACGAATTAGTGAGTGAAGGGACAAGGTACGATATTTTCTGAGTATTATTTATCATTTTTTGAGGAAAACACAAAAAAATCTAGTAACGATATTTAGAATATGGATTAGATTTAGACATTGTGGTTTCTGCACTCATCCCAGGCAAATATTACAACTTGGTGTTCTGGATTTTGCTAAAATATAGTGAAAATCTTCAGAAAGCGCTTATCAGTGAGGTCTTGTCGGATATTGGAAGTACCAGATGAAGCGCTGTGCGTTTCTGCTAGTAATGATTCACGTTTTCTTGCTGTGGGACTTCTGGACAATACGGCTTGTATTCATTTTGTGGACACACTCAAATTTTTTGTTTCACTTTATGGACATGCACTTCCTGTTACAGCTATCCATATTTCTCATGTATGTTTTTGCAACAAAATTTGCTTGTGCCTAGAATTAAAACTTAAGTTCTAAGGTTAAAAAAAGCAATGTTATTAATCTGAGATCCTCTGCTACTCCACTAAGATATATTTTTGGCTTATAGCTTTTTTAATTTTGTACTTATTTTGTTGATACAATTAGTTTGAAGTAAGGAGAGTTCTTAAGCTTTCCGGCGTTTAGATTTACCGTTTTAGAATAATAAGTTGGTTGCTACGGGATCAGCCGATAAAAGCATCAAGATATGGGGAATAGATTTTGGAGATTGTCACAAGTCCTTTCATGCGCACGATGACATGTAAGTTTCTTTTGCTCGTCTTTCTTTTCTTATCAACTTTCTTTGAAATTTAAAAGATAGAATTCCTCGAATTTCAATTATTTTCGAAATTTATTATGCATCTAAATATATAGAACAAATCTCTTGACTTATGTCACGAATGTTTAGGTCTTGAACTTACTTGAACTTACACTAATTAGTGTCACTTTGAATAGTTTCCAGTGTGACTTGCGTTTTATTTTCACCCGAAGAACATTTGTTGTGGTCTGCCGGTAAAGATGGTTTAATTAAGCAATGGGATGCGGTGAAGTTTGAAAGGATTCAAGTGTTAGATTTACATTCGGCCGAAATTCGAGCTCTTGCACAAACCACTGATGGAAAATGTCTCGTAAGTTCTTAAATAAGACAGGGAAAATTAAAATTAGGATTCTAAATTTCGAATTAAAGAATTTCTTAAAAGTCTCGTTGATATTAATAATCTAAAATTTAAATTTTGAGTTATCAAGTATTCTATCAGATTTCCTCCTCGCATGATAAATCAATCCGATTGTGGAAGTTGACGGAAGAAATCATTGTTCTTCAAGAAGAAGAAGCAGTGGAGCGAGAAAGGGAATATGAAAAGCGCCTTATTCAGTTGAACGATGTTGTACCTGGGGAAGAAAAGATTAATGAAGCCGAAATAGCAGTCCGAAAAAGTATCTCAAGCATTAAATCGGTTAATTTCATTTAATTATTATATATCCGTGCTGTATGCCACTTATATATTTATATTTGAATACATTTTAAAGAATGTTAATGTAAAATAAGTTTTAAAAAAGTGTAAATAGGGATTAATGATTGATATTTTAAAAAATACATCAGCTTTGTAACCTAGTTAACATTTAACATTAATCGGTCCTTCACGTTCTGCTCATCCGTGAGTTTACATGAAATTTCCGTGAATTTACTTTGCTGTATCGCATTAGCTTTTTTCTATTGCGTAAAATATTTGTCTTAAATTTCATGTAAATTCATTTTTATTTTTGTTTTCTGAAAAGAAGAATATCTTATTTTCGATAAACACTAAATGTGAAACTAAATGTTTTTAGGCTGAAGATATTATCGATGCGCTAAACGTTATGCGAAATGAGAGGATAGCTATGTTGGATGATCCAAAGGTAACTTTTCTTTCAGTGTTTTTCTAGTTATATTTAATATATGTTTCAAGAGAAAGGATTATTTCTTGACAGCTATTTTTACAGCATGAAAAGCACCCATTGTTGCTCTATTTTCAAAGCTCATCGCTCGACCACTTTATACTTGATGTGATTCAACGAGTACCGTCAAGGTTACTTAATTTCATTTTCTTGATTTTCAAAATATTGAAAGACAGTTAAAAGTTTTTCAATGTTTTCTTTTTAGTCATTTGGAAAAAAGCTTATTAATGGTCCCATTCGGTTTCGTTCCGGATATTATCAGGGCACTGGGTGTTTGTATTGGAAAGCATTATAAAGCAGAGTTGGCATCACGTGTGCTAATTTTCATTGTAAAGTAAGTTTTCTATTTATCCATCTACTTATCTGTTATTTTTCAACTTTTATGAATAGGTTTATGTCATTATTGTGTTTGCTTATATAGTTTGCAGAAGTAAATTTTATATAAAAAAGAATTTTATAAAAAAAAAGTTACAAAAGTAAATTTTATAGTCTCTTCCCTAAATTGCGTAAATAAAAGCTTCAAAAATCTGTGTTTTGTTAGAAATTCTTTGATCCTCTTGTCGTTTGCGATATATAGTATCATTTCGAAAAGAATTTTCATATTACATTTGTTATCCTGAGCCACACAACAAGATTCGCTGTAATAATTTATTGATATTACGATTCAGAGATATGTTTACTGCGTATTTCAGCTATAAAAAAATTGTTAACTTCATTCTCAAAGCATGTTGAAGGCTGGGTTATCTAATATAAAAATATATATTAAGCTGTCACAGTTTTTCAGTGTTCAGAATGTGGAGTTTATATTTTTTTTAGGAAGCTAGCAATCACTTCTTGAAATGTTTGGCATATTTGTTTTTAGAAATTTCCCGCAATGTTTTATCCATGTTTTTTATTTTCCAGAATTCATCATAATCACCTCATAACACAGACTGATTTGATAACTTTGTTCGATGATTTATGTCGGAAGATTCCGCAGGGGTTGGATGATTTACGGGTAATCAATTTCTCACTTCTTGGCAATTTTTAAAGACATGTGTTAGGATAAACATTTTCATGTAATGTGTTTAAAAATGTATAATAACATTTCTTTTTCTGAATTCTTAAATAGCTACTATAGTCACAATCACTTGTTAATTTGTTTCATCTAAGCCACTGATTTGCAGGATATTTGTGGTTTCAACCTGGCAGCTTTGAGACTTTTTCAAAAAGAAATAGAAGAACAAATGGAAGTGAAACTCTTTGCTGATTTTTCAGAATTAGGGAGGAAGACAAAAAGGAAATCAAGAAAGACTCTTATGAAAGTTTTTACTTAAGAATATTTAGTTCCCCAGAGGAGGTAATTGTATGTGTACCACATTTGGCTTTTGTTCTTTTTGATTACTTGTCCTTGTCGAGTTCCACAGCACTTTATCTTGAAGCCAAAATAATCAAGAAACCACATATTCTGTTTATATTACCCACATTTGAGTATTCCTAAATTTCGAACGGATAAAAAAGGAATTGGTTGATTAGTATTTTGAGAAGAAGTCACTAGTCTGTTCAATTTTTAAAAATTCGTTTTTTATTTTTTGTTGCTCATCCATTTGTTATTTTGGTCTTTTTGCTTTTTGTTGAATTAAGTTGTGTTGTTCAGTAAAATATATTTGGCTGACATCATCAAAAGATTAACAGTGGTTTCATGAACCAAACATGAATTTTTACACGGAAGGAATGTGATCTGGGTATTTTAACATGAGCAGCTTTTCCTTACATCTGTTTCTCTCAATTTTTATGTTCTGTGATAATTGCCAGCGAAGTAGTAAGAATTAGAAAAACGTTTTTACATAATTTATAAAAAAGTGGAGGCGAAGGTACAAATAATTTAAATAAAGAAAGTAAGGTACTTGAAGACATAGTGATCCCAGCCAATAAAGTATCTACTGTTTGGTGGAACTAAACTTTTATCCTAAGGTACTTCCAAATAAAATTGATTTAGCCTAGAACAAAAAAGATGAAAAGGTTGAATGGTTCAAATACTTTTCGACTATTTTAAATTCCTTTTTTAGAAATGATTTTAACTGCATTATTTCTCTTTTGCTTAAAAGAGACATTTTAATAATTTTTAATTCCATTTTGTAGTTATGATTCTCCCTTTCTATCACAAAACAGAAAGTAGGTAAGATACGCGAAGAAACATCGATCAGCATATTTATTTTTTTATTTTCATTTTCCCAATTATAATTGACTCTACTAACTTATAACCTGCAAAAAAGTTTTCTTTCACAAACATGCAAGGATCTTGTTTCCTTTCCCTGTATTACATCTTTTACGTTGCTTTGTTGCAATGTCTCAATTTTAGAACGTAATTTTGAAAAATTTAGTAAATTTTTCAAATAATTCCTAGAATTGTCGTCTGGTGTCATTATTTATTTTAATTTTAAACATAATTATTAAGAAAGATTATAAGTTATTTTTATGCGTTTATCACGTTCCCCATCTTCCGTTATGTCTATACCACTTATGGAGAAAACAACGTAATAATCTGAAAAAAAGTGCTTTACGTATTTCAAAGCTAGTTAAACTTGCGGGCATATTTGAAACAAAAGTCATTAATCGTTACAATTATAAATTGTGCCTGCGTTAGATGAAAAGTGTAGCGATTATTTTATTGTCCCATCGAAGAAGAGTTATTTATACTCGTTTAAGGAAAAGAGAGATCGCTTTTACGAAAAGAGAAAAAGTTAACCCATTTCAATTCCAAAAAAGGGTAATTTTGAAAAATTTAGTAAATTTTTCAAATAATTCATAGGATTGACCTTTGTTATCATTATTTATTTTAATTTTGAAAATAATTATTAAGAAAGGTTATGTTTTTATTCTCGCAAATTAGTCATTAATGTTCACTTCAGTGTCGTTAATATAAATTTATTGCAACATTACGGGATTTTTTCGTAAAATTATTTATATTTATCTAATTCATAAATCATTCTGCAAAAATTTGCATAACATGCACACAGTTATAAAATTTGTGGATACTTTTATTTCATCCAAGAACATTTAAGCGAATTACTAAATACTGTCCGTTTGAATTTGAATTTTAATGATTTTTAGTTTTTCGGATTTGATAAATTTCGTTAAAAATTTAAGAATTAGTAAAATTTATTCCAAGATCTTGTGCTTTTTGTTTTTTTTAAAGTTTTTGCTCTTCCATTTCTTTTTTTTATCCTTTTAACGAGTAGAGATTGTTTTCTTTGGAAAAAATGAAATATTGATTATATTTAAAGCCTGTCCCTTTACTTTCTCTAATTTTTTTTCTCCTCCTTGGATAAGCCTCAAAAAAGCCTAGATGCCTTTTAAAAAAACTTAATTTTATTTTTTTTGTTTTGCTCTTCCAAGCAACGAAGCTAGAAATTTTCTTTCTTTCGCAAGATTAGTTGAATCTTATAGATATGCTGAATCAAATCGACATTTCAATTGAATTTACATTTTTATGTGAAATCTTTTTGCTGTTAACTTATTCAAAGAAGAATTTCTTCTATTTCAAAGAAGAAACACTAAATATTACACAGGAACGATTTATGTGAAGTCTTCTTGCTGTTAACTTATTCGAAAGAATTCAAAGAATAGGACCTTTTTCTTTAATAATCGTTTCTGTGTAATATTTAGTACTTTCTGATGATACTTCGCATTAGCTTTGTTAAGATTTTCAACTTTCCTTTGACTATTGAATTCCAAGCATTTGAATTTTTTTACGCTTTTTCTGTCAACATTTCTTAAACGGAATGAAGTATATTTTAAAAAAAAAAACCAACATTTGTAGCTTTCATAGTTATTAAATAGCATAAATTAAACTTTTCGTTTTTAAATTCTTCATAAGAATTTACTTCATTTACCCTTCAAGTTTTTCTTCAACTTTTATACCATTAAGAATACGTTATGTATGAAAATATTTTCTCGTATCATATAATCACTTAGTTCTACACTATATGTGTATTGTTCTCAAGTAAAACGTCGTTACTCATTCAGGAAGACTATAAATTCTACGCGAATGAAGAAACTATGATGATGGACAGGTGTCACATTTGTCATAATGGCCACGTTAGTGACAGCAACTTCCAATTAAGAACGAGGCACTGTCTAATTGTATTTTGCCGCAGCACTATATTATCAGGAAGACTTTCAACTTAGCATTTTGTCGTTTCAAAATTATATCAGCTGATGATGAATGAAGACTTAAAAGTTATTTAAAATGCCCGTGCATATTAGGAACGGATCTGCTGGCCGTTGCTTTTGCTTTAAATGTGATTTTGCGAAGAGAAATGCTTATTTATGATTTAAGTGTTTTCAATTAGAATCGAATTCTCGAGTTCTTTTTGTGCAGGCTTTTCAGTCATAATCAGAAAATAGAAGTGAAAACAAGGAAAGACATGTCTTCATTTCAGCACCATTCGTTCTAACTTTCCAAGTTAATCCTTTAAGGAATTTATATCTATTTTAGAGGTGGTATTTCGTAATTTGAGTAGAAAAATCAATGATCGATGAGGATTGCGACAGTTATCTATTCTTGTTGAAGTGAAATTATACGAAGAAGTAAGGCATTAATTCATTCATTCAATTAATTAGTTAATCGTCGATTCATTCATTCATATTGCACATGTGCATTCATTCACGAAGTTTATGATATGAATAAGTACATGAAGATGATGAAGTAAAATGATATTTCAGGTCATATCACTGAATAATATTTTATTTATAATAAACCAATAAACTGATCAGAGTGTAAAATTAGTAGTAACTGAAATTTACTTTTAGTACATCGTATAATCATTTAAATTTCCATATACTGTAAAATTCATTTTATCCACCATCTAATTGTTGCCTTATAGTAAAAGTTAACGTTTGTATAATTATAATAAACAATGGCTTAGATCAAAGAAATAGATTTACAAAATTACATCACTGTAGAAACAAACTATTCCGGCATTTGTTAATTAGTTGCAGGTGTTTAATATTTATGAGTTCAGTATTGTTATTTTTTTAATCTGTACTTTCGTTTTTTGTTCGAGTTTTTTGGATTATTTAGAATCGCTAACATGCAACGAAGTGTTATATGCGATCATGTCTGAATTCCGGAGAAAGCTTTTGACGATCTTTTTTATTTTCAATAATAACTAATAATATGATTATGATTTTAATGATAATACATCCGTGATGTATAAAAATTGTGGGGATATTTAGGTGATTTTCCAAGTAATAATCGCAGATTTTTTTAACTCTTCACTTTATTCATTATTTTAAAATATTTGCTTTTATTATTGAATTTGCTGACTTTTTGATCCTTTTATTTAAAATACGTGAACTTTGCGTGAAATGTTGTTTTCCCTTGACATACTATCTGTACAATAGTATTAGTTGTGACATGTGCATTAGCCATAACATGAGAGTATATTGACAAGTCTGTTGATGAAATGTGTGCTTTTTTGAATCGGTTGAGTTATATAAGAATAAGCAAATCACTAAGGATAGTAAGGATATGTTAAGATTTTGATATTTATCTATATTATTCAGCAAATCATGAGATTGCTGTTCGCGGTATACTTTGGACTATTTTTTGAGAACACGGAGCTACTATTTTTGAGATATCATAGGAATACTGTCTTCTACATCATATGAAACTATTTTTTTTTCAAAGACCATAGTACCGTTTTAGGATACTGATGATATTTTTCGTATGGTCGCTTGTGTTATCTGCAGTGCAGTTTGCACGGCGTCAACGACTAGTGTCAGTATTATCGGAATATTTCCTTTGGAATCTTTCGCATAACTCAGTGCTTCTATGTCGGAAAATTCATTGTTTTTCTTGCTTTTCAAGGAATAGAAAAAGGTGAGTCTTATCTTTATTATTTTACAACATATTTTTCATTATAAATATACTAAGTTTACTCCATACTTAATTCTATATCTTTCGATCTATTTGGATGTGTATTTTTCTTATTGTTTATTTATTTACTTGCTTATTCAGTTCCTCAAATATTTTTTGAATATTTATTTTTGTAATTCTATTTTGCTGATTTTTTCTTCTTTTACAGAGTTATTTAATTTTATTTTACGTGTTTATTTAAATTTGACAGGTGGGGATACTTCACTGCTACAATTGTTTATATGTTAACGAAGCTATTAGATGTCTTTTACAAATACTTTTCTTGATTTCTATTTAATTACTCCCTTAGTTGGATAAACGGAAGTTTTACTAAATTAGTTGTCAAGTTTGACAACTAATGAAAAGACAAAGCTGCAACTAATTGACAACTAATTTTAATAATTAATAATTTAATAATAACTTTAATAATTAGTTGTCAAATTTGTTTAATCGCTCCTTTATAAACAACCAAAAATTTTATTAAATTAGTTGTCAAGTTTCGAAGAGGCAAAGACGGTTGCAGCCACGAATCGACTAAGCACGTTATTTTTGTATAAAATTATTGTGCTTTTAACTTAATCACTTATGCAACATTTTAGTTATGAAAGGTTAAATGACACTTTGGATACATTAAGAAAAACGAGCAGTGAACCATGCCTTCCTAGTGAACTCATCGCAAGACCAATTTATCGAACCGAGGAAGTGGAATTTGTTGTTCAATTAGATGCTGTAAGTTATTTTGGAAAGTTTGATTTCCGCAGTAAAAGAACTGTGGAGATTTAGATTATAAAAGTTCGATCTAAATAGGATTGGCATCGAATTGGAGTTGAAATTCAAAAATTTGACAGGTGGAGATACTTCACTGCTACAATTGTTAAGAAAAATTGCCTCGTCATTTTGTATGCAATTTCCTGATAGTAAATTTACATGATGCATTTCCCTGATGTTGCTTAGTTGAGTCACAAAAATGTTTTTTCGCTAGTTGATTTTTTCCGGAAGTATGTCATGCTTTTAACATTACTCAACTTTAATGTTCTCATTATCTGTATTTTATCCAAAGTATATTATATTTAATAAATCGAATACTACGAAATTGAATTTTTTCCATTTCTAATATCAGATTTCCGAATTCATAAGAATTCGTCCAATGTTATTTTGAAATTTACTTCGAAATAAAAAATTAACGTCAAACTTTTCGGAAAGATAGGCAAAACTTACCTCAAAATTCGAAAACTTTTGTTTTGGCTTTCCATTTTTTCTGAAATAAAGGAAAGAAGCCTTGAATTTGTTTTCAAATATTTTAGTCTTTATTCTACCTTTAGACACAATTGGATATTGTGGACTGGAATATGTTTACGCCACCGTGTCATGGTTCTATTCCGCGCGTTCATTTTATTGCTTTTTTGGACAAAAAATCCGATGAAAATAATGAAATGTCGAATAGTATTAGTCTCACTGATTCAATAGATATCACTGATGAACAGTCGAACATAAGCAGTGGTACCATTTACTCTTCTGGCTTATCATCAGTTCTAGTAAGTTTATCTATTTAACATATGTGTTCAACAGTATGTATGTTGCTTGAATAATGTGGGAAGCTGAATTCAGTATGGGACAACTATGCTGTGTAAATAACAAAAAGTGTAAAGAAACGAAGAGAAAAGATGAGAAAGAGTGTTATTGAGATTATAACTATTATTGTGAAGAGATAGGAAATGAGGATTTTATGACATTTTTTTTTGCTTAAAATCAAATTTAGAAGCTTCAGTTTTCATATGTCTTTCTATATATCTCTGTTTAGGTTAATAATTTATGCAATAAAATCGCTCATCGACGGGGTCGTCCATGGGAAATTCTTTATGAATGTACATTGTATGATTTCTATGATATTGCTTTTGCGTGGTCACAGAATGCATTATTTGATATTGGTGGCAAAGCAATAGTTAAAATGATGAAAGGTTGGTGTAAGTTGGATTTTTTTCTAATTATTCTCGTGATTTATTTATGCATAATGGTGATGTGAAATTAATTTTTAAAAAAACGGTAAATAGAAAATCGTAATTTTTTTATGCTTTTTAATTTTCTAATGGTAGGATTTTGCGGAATTATTGAACAGATATTTAAAGATCATTTTTTATGGTCACTTAAGAAAAGTTTTTTGTTTTTCCAGTTAAAATCAAAAATGATAATTTGTCAAGTTGAATTTGCAAATATTCAAACGAAAAATCAACTTTTTTGATCTGCATTATTTTTAAAATATTTTATAGTGATAACATTGCCAGAAAAATTTTTCATTCAACTGGATGATAGCAACAATTTACAGAGGAGTGTATCACCTGCTCTTAGTTGTAAGTTCCATTATTATCAATTATGTAGTAGAGCTTAGGCGGTTTTTTCTAAAACTGATGGCATAAAATGTCGTGATGTTTTTATATGATATCAGTAATGTAATTAGTTGATTTAATATTGAGTTTAATGTTCTCGATGTTTCATATTTTCACTTAATGTTGTAATGATGGCTGAAACTTCCGATGTTGAAATAAATAGGGAGAAAAAGTATTGTTAATCAACCAAGTAGTCTTTGAACAAATTGTGTAATAAGCAATAGGCTTACATACACATGCAGAAGGGATGTGAATTTTCTGTAAAAATCATGTAATGATGGAAGTATACGCGACTATGGAATAATTTTGTTCACATCTGACATAAATTCAAACAAAATCTATATGATAATAAAATAAAAAAAGGAAAAAGAATGAAATGGATAGCTTTGTAACAAACATAATGGTCAATTTTTTGGTGGTGAATGGGGGATAAATTCACCGTTGAACAGTTTATCACCGGAGCCACTTTCGTTGCTGGAATTACTTTATGAACGAGAACATAGCTGTACTATGAATAAAGATGACTACCGAAATTTTTACGGTTCTTCAGCTTTATCACTATTTCATAACAATGATGCAGCTTTACATTATAGTCATCGATTGGAATTCCCTGTATCATCTTCTTTTCAGTAAGCTTATTCGTGTTTATATATATATATATATATAACCTGTTATGCAAATTAAATTTTCATATTTCTCCCTCTGGTAACAAAAAATAAATAAATAAATGTCTACAAAATTCAAGTCCAGTGATTTACTAACTGTTCTTATTCTAGTAACAAACCAGAGTTGTAAATTTTATTAGGCTAGAAAGCTGTTCGAAATATTCTTAACATAACTCTAAACAGCTTGAATATATTAATGTATATATCTGAATACATATTTGTCCTGTCCAACTATACAATAATTTTTGCTTCTTAGTAAATTAGAACTAATCAATTAATTCATTTTTTATTAGTTATTTTAAAGCTTATCTTTTTGCAAACTGTCTTTAAAAAAATGGAATCGGTAACTCTCTTTAGCTTTAAATATATTAATTTTGAGGCTACCAGCTGATGTTCCGAACAGTGGCTGTTTTGGATATATCACGAAGCCGAATTCATCTCGATCAAGGACATGTTCCCTATCTCTCGAACGAACCAAAACAGTGCTCAGTGAAGCTGCTCCATTCTATGTCAGATATCTCAAAGAGCAAAATAAAATGAGCAAATGGTCGTCAAGGTTATTTTTTAAATTTGATTTGGCGTCTTTATTTGCTGTGTAGTTACATGGAAAGTTTTATGTGTCACCGTATTGTGTGTGTAATAAAGCCTTCTTAAGATATTTTTCTATTACAAATAAAAGACGTTTTATCACATATTATCACGAAGCTTAATTCATTGCATGCTCTGATTACAAGTTCGTGATCTTTGAGATCGTATTTCCGTATAAAAATATGTCTAGAATCTGCTAAATAATCTGTTCGGCATACTTTTTTCTTCCTAGATAACTTATACTTCTGTTGAATTTTTACGATTACATTGCTATCATGTTAACATGACGATTCAGTCATGTTGACATGGTGATTGTTAACATGATGGAAGCGCATCATGTTAACAATAATTTGGCAGGATGTGCAAGGAAAGTACTGACTGATAATGATAAATGAAAATAACCAGAATATATTAAGAGATTGGGAAAAAAACTCTAATTGTTCTCATACCAGCACCCTTGTCGATTTCATTATTTCTCGAATTTTTCTTTTTTCACTGTTTTCTCGTTCCATTTTTTTGGATAGTCCATGAGATTTATCTTGGGAAAACTTTTTTCTGTAGATATGAATTTTGGAAATTTGTAAATTAAAATTTTTAAGTCGTCTTAAAACTCTTTTGTTTAAAGAGTTCTGAAATTTGTGGTTGCTAATTTGCTTTAAGTTTTCGTTACATTTTATCTTTTATGTTTTCTTTCCTTGTCACCTGTTAGTTGAACACTTTTTCACTTAATAGCATTATTTTAAATAGTCGCGTGCGTGCGTATAATTTCATTTTAATTTTAGAGATTTTTAGTGTTTTAATGGAGGCGATCAAACTTCAGGAGTATTAATAGTGAATTTCAACATTATTTGTATTAAAATATTTATTAATTTTCAGCTGTTCAAAAAGTCAACAGTTTGGTCAGGAAATGAGATTTGCTCGTATGGAAGAACACATCTTGCATTCTTCTATAAATTCATTAAGTGACCAAAAAATAAAATCGCAAAAAACGGATGATGGTGCAAACAATATGCTTTCAAGAATGTCAACAGAAATCATTTCGCAAGAAATCAATAATCAATTTTTCATAGATTCATTACACAATAGTGATATTAGTATACCAGCGAAACTTGTGAAAGACGATATAGATGATATCAAAAAACAGGTCATCGCTTATCAGATTCCAAACGAAGTGAGCCATCTTTCGATCGAGCACAGTTTAATCCAGGATGAGATGGGTCAGGTTCAGCTCCAATTGAGCGGGGACCACGTCATTCCAGATCAAGTGAGGGGTTGCGCAAACCAAATTCAGGTGGAGCCTAGCCAGAATTCTATTCGATCAGATGAAAAGTCAGTTGTTAAGAAGTGTGAAGATCAAAGTACTTCAAATTCTGGACCTACAGATAATGCTCAACAAAACCGATTTTCAAAAGAAATTATAAATTCAATGAATTTGGAAAAAAACGAATCACAGTCATCAAATTCGATTATCGAGGTAATTCGATTGAATCAATCTATATTGAAACTGACTCAATTGGAATCAAAAAAATACCGCAACGGATTTCGTACATTTGTAAAAAATATATATAAAAAATATATACTCATATCTGACATTATTTGTTTTCTTGTATGTTTTAAACTGATATGAATTTCAGAACACGTGTAAAATATTATCAGCAACAGGTAAACAAAAATGTCATCATTGCAGTTTTCCGTCTTCTGCACATTTTGCTTTTCGCACTTTTCAGAGTGGTATGTTTATGATAACAATTCCCTATTAATGATGAGCACAAATTTTGTGTTATTTACACAATATTGACAAAATTGCTGCTGGTGTAATAGATCTATGTAATATATGAGTACCAATTTTGACGATGTAACCAATGACAAGCACAAAATTATGTTGTTTCTGAAGGCATCCAAATTTGTCAATATTGGATAAAATATTGAACTTAATGATTTATGAACTTAATCGTAGATAACGGAAAAAAGGATGAAGAGTTGTTTGTTGCTGTAATGATCGAGCAGTAGTCACTCTCAAAGTTTGCACCATTTGCTTTTTCTTTGATTTGAAAAGAAAATTGCGAAATGAACAGAAAAACGGAACTCCAAACGGATGGTTTGGGTTAAGATTGAAAGCTCGTTTCTTAGCTCCCAAAATGTAAAGTTAAAACAATTTTGCAACAAACAGTGATATAATTTTGTCTTATCAGTTTGACTTTAATTATCCTTTGTTGATTTATTTTGCCTTTTTAGCAGTACTATTTTCAATTTAATGTCGATTTGAGCGTTTAGTTATGCTTAATCCCGCAAATTGGTGCACTTCTTTATCACTACAATATACCCAAATTGATTTTTGCACTTTCAGACTATTATAGCACTTCCCCTATTTCTACGACGTTGTTTCCATCATCACTACTATGCCGGAGTTCGAAAGAACGGCCAGAGTTGTTAGGTAAAGAAATGTTTCGAATTTTTAGTGGTTCACATTTGCACTTCACGACAGATGGCAGAAAAATTCTTGCGAAGCCTTTAATGGTGAATTTTTAAAAACGTTTTGCTTGAAAAATATACTCTCTTCATAATTCAGATGTCTCAGGGATTCATTGAATTCCAAATTTATAGTGAATTAGGGGATTTATTCGATTTTTAGCTTTGGAATTTTTCCATTCTATCAATTATATTCTTTCATGAGTTTTTCCATTCTACCAATTATATTCTTTCTTTTAGTTAAGGATTTGTGCAAGATTCGAATACTTGCATCAATCATTATCCGCTTATTTGATAATAATAAGGATTTTTCATGCGAAAATTTAGTATGAAAACCTAAATTTCTAAAGATTAAATTATTATGAACATTTGCAGTCGTTCTATAACATAGCAAATGTTTGTTCAACATTTTTTTCTTCTTACAGATTTTGGTATTTACTGGTAACAATGAAGATTTGTTCAATCGTATCTTGAAAATTCTCAGTACGACAATTCCATCTGATACTCATACTATTTTTCATCTGTCGTACGAAGCTTTCTGCAAGCATCCATGGATTGGACAAGGCACAGCGTGCTTAATTGTAGCTGATACGTCACATCTGGATGATGAATGTTGGATTCGACTTCAGCAGTACTTCAGTAATGTAGGATATTTTTGAGTATTTTAAATTTCTATTAGAATCTTAAAAGCTTGGTTGATTCCACGCAGTATTTACAAGAAGAAGCGAAAAGTTAGTGACTGTAGCTCATATGTCGCATCAAGGATACGATGGGCTAGAGGTTAGAGGAAAGGAACTATTATTATTAAAGAATTATTGAAAAAGACGATTATAGGTTGAGGACAAGATAAGTTACAATTTTTATTTTTTGCTCTTTTCCCTTTTCTCCTGATCAATAAGTTTGATCCTGAGGACATTACATGATTAAGACATTAATGTCCCTCGAGACATAACCGTTTTCCATTTTCTTTGTTTGATAGCCTTCATCCTCGAGCAGTAGTTTTTAGAACTTAAATGTTTTATGTTATTCTCAGAGGACTACGTTCTCTTTTAATTTGTTGATATTTTTTGGGAAAACGGATGACGAAATAGTCTGCTTTCAGTCGGGCAAGATTCTCTTCCTCTGTCAAAATAAGCTTTTGGCAAGTTTATCAACCTGTGACAATTCGAAAAAGACTGCCAAGTTGTTGAAGATGGCATTTGGTGAACGGCAGTCAAAGAAACTCGGAAAAGACTTTGAACATTTCCTAAAGAAAACTTTGAAAACGCTATATAAGGAAAAAAAGGTATAGAACTACGAGTGTGATTCATACTTTCTCTGATTTTCTTTCAAATATATTTCTAGTTTATAATTTACAGAAAGAATAGAAATAATGTATAATGTTATTTCTGAAATACTATTTTGAAAAGTATCAATATTTTTAACGAAGAAATTGTGTTCTAGTTTAAATGAATCTCAATGCATATACATATATGCAAATTCTTTATGAGTTGACATAGGCACATTTTTTAATTGAAATTGGGAGCATGATAACTAAATGAAAATGCAGCGTGAGCAAAGCTTTACGGTTAATCTAATCCCTTTGATTTTCGAATTCTTCGACCAGTGGTTAGGCGCTATTCCAGAGAAAAAAGATCTTTTCTGTTGACTAATATCAATTGGAGATGTTGCAGCTTTGTTCATCTCATTTATTTCTTGATCTTCGATTCACACACAGATATAGCGATACCACTGACCATGTCACTTTTGAGTCTTAGAGTATTCCACGTTCAATCGCTGAGATAGTCATTTGCCGGTTGTAAACAGTCCACTTTTTGTTGCACGTCATTATCTTATGGACAGATGCTTTGCTATTGTTGCTAAGAATAGAAGACGACACACTTCATAACAACGACTTTTTTGATTATTGTCAACTTACGGTACACGTATTTGACAAGCTTTTTACTGATTTTAAATATCGGAAGACTATATATAACTGATGTTGGGTTTTTCGTACAATTTCAAGAGGATTAGCTTCGAACAGTTCTCAGTTGGCAGTTGTCACCTTCAAATAATTGGTCATTAAATCCTTTATCGGGCCACTTTTTAAATCATCATCATTATATATTGTTGATGTTGCCTGCGTTTTTTCTTGCGTTTGAAACACGAGTTTTTGTCATGAAGTAAACAATAAGTTGTCAGAACATTAAAATATAACAAAAATTTTATGAACAAATTTCATGAACAGTGGTGAATGGGCACTGAAGTTATTTTTAATGTTCATAAAAAAATCAAAATTTTTTAAGATATAATACTTTTACATTATTCTAATAATATCAAAATAGAAAAGTCGGGGATTTTGCAGGTGAACCAAACTTTTCATGCAAAAGATATTTTCGGTGGTTACAAATATTCCGTTGTGTTAAACAAAACCGAAGGTTGTTTCTTTTTCGTGAAGTCATTCGTTTTTTGATATGTACTACTTTATTGTTTATTTTACAGGAAGCGGAATTTTTCACTATCATTTGTTTTATTTAAAATTTCTTTAACTCAATTTTAGATAGTCCGTTTTTGTTATATATGGAAAATGCAGCGCAACGTGCGAGTGCTCTGTTTAGTGATGCGACAAGTGCACAATTACTTCAATCCGGTTCAACATTAATTGCTGATGCTCTTTCACGTCTTTCCATAAAAATCACTAAGAATTTAGCGATACCATCCCTCACACCAGGATATTTTATTTGTGAATATGATCGAATGCCGTGGGATATGGAAGTAAGTTATCCTTTTCTTGAGAAACTGTTCAATCTAATATAGCTAGAAAATTAGGTGAATTTCTGAGGCAAGGAAATATTTTGTAAAAAAGTAATTAAGTTGTTTTACAATCAATTAATCGAAAAATCAGATAAACGAGTGGCGTTCTTAGCAACTTATCATTAGATTAAAATTTGATTAAGCTCGTTATATTTCATGATTATGATGGTTATTTAAGTCGGAATGTTATTGTTTATGGATTTCTCATCACATTGTTTTTCTTCAGATATAAGTGGTTGACCAATTTCTAAAAACTGTTAGTAATCAAAGAAAACTGAAGTCAGAATTTCATAATTCATTGCAGGGTATGCATTTCAATGAACCATTCGGCAGTATGCCCAAATTATTGCTCAAGCAGATTAGCAAACATGGAACATTACCAGAGGTTTCAAGCGAGTTACTTCCTGTTGAAGTCCGAACACGGGTGGAACATTTACCTGATTTTGACGATGAAATTTATTTTAAGTAATCTTTGATTCTTCTGCATTTTTCTTTTTTTTGAATTATTGATAATTTTTGTGTTTTTTCCATGTAATCGAAGTCAGGGGTCAGTTTGCAGGAGGCTTGAAACTTCGAGACTTGGCAAAGCTTTACTTTACATTCCAGTATGTGAGACGACAATGGGAATTGGAAAAAGGTAGGTGAAGTTATTTTTCCAATTAACTGCTTGTATTTTAAATTTTAATATTAAGTGATGAAATTCTAAAATATAGTTTTCTCTCAAGGTGGATTTTCTTCAACTAATAAATGTCGAATTATATTGTTAAATTTACATCTCACCCTTTTCAAATTCTCGAATTAGCTGATTGAGTTGTTTAACTTCGAATTAATATAGTTTAATCTTTGGCCGAAATATTGTGGTTATAAAACTGACCTTTGTATTGATCGTTGTTTAGAAAATTAGTGTTATGTTTGAAAATACTCATATCGTTGTCAGGTTATTTCTACAAAATAAATTACTGGAAAATTTCATATTTGTGAATTTGGTTTTTACTAAGTTTGATTTCGTATTTATTTGTTTCTTGCAGAAGTTTGGACTTGAATAAAGTTCTTTGTTCGAGTTAATTACTGTAAAATTTAATGTTTGAGTCATTCATGGCTAAATGACAAACTTTCTGAGAAACCGATAAATACGAAATTATCCCATCCGAGCTCTTTACTGCAAGATTTCTCATTTAATTAATCCACTCTGTTTGAATTTACTTATAATTCATCCTACGAATGAATGATTCTTCATTATTATTCTGGATTTTTAGTTTGGCATTTGCAATGCCAGGTGAGCCAATTGTGATTGTCGCACGACAACAAACTAAAGGAAAGGGTAAGTTGAGTTGTAGGGCGAACAAAGCTTTGACTGAAGCATTTTGATGGAAAATAATTTCCTGAATGCTGTTAATTGTCTTAGCAATAATATCTGTAGCAATAGTGGAAATTGGTATGTTAGTATCATAACTGAGAGCATAGATAAATGAAGTCATTTGTAAACTGTTAGTTTTTATTTGTACTTGGAAGTTCGGAAAATTTACAATTTGATATATCTGATAGATTATATAAGTGGAGCTTTAAGTTATAATGATAATGGTATTATTTTCAGGTCGATCAGGAAATCAGTGGCTCAGTCCAGTTGGATGCGCCATGTTTACGTTTAATTATATGTTGTCGCCCGAATCATCTCTTAGTAACAATGTTGGCATCATTCAACATATTTTCTGTGTTGCAATTGTCAGTGGCATTTGTTCACTTCGGAAGGAATTGGAGGTAATAAAAGTTATTGTATTTTGATTTTAGAAAATCCTTTTTTCTGGTTTTGAAATTTTTCGGAATTATTTCATTTTCGACCTCTTTACCGACTAATAATAATAATGATAAATAAATATATTAAACCAAGAATCTTTATTTACCTTTAAACCTAAACGTAATATTAACAGTTTCCACTCTTGTTAACACTTCTTTTTTTCCAATTCATCTTCGTGAAAATCTTCCAAAAGAAAAATTAGTGTTATTTATTAGGAATTAATCTAAAATTAGCACCTAGTAATATGTAATTATGTTACATTAATAGTATTTAATTATAAAATGATACATTGATTAATAAGACATTTTATAAGGCTTGCAGTAGTAATTGCAGGTCAATAAATTCCAGAAGTTCAAAAGAAATTTAGTTACATTATTGTTTGTCTTCATTATTCTGACTATTTTATCCACAGATTGTTGCTATATCAGGAAATAGTTTTGTTATGCAGGGAAATCTAACAAATGGTAATACATGTCGACATGCTTATCTTTCTCCTAGCCATAATAATTATTTGTGATGTCTTATGAAATTTTTTATTGCAGCTTAACAGTACGCATGATGTATACAAAGTATATAATTTGTTAAAAATTTTTATAATCCAAGATTTATAAAAACTTTATTGTAACCTTTTTTCAATTTGTGTTTTTTTTTATTTTATGTTGTTTCGCCTATGATTTCTATTCCTTTCTTTAGTTGATATGGTTGAATAATTTTTTTTAGTTGATATCTTTAGTTGATATAGTCGAAGAAGAAACGATCTTTTTTATATGTGTTACATTTCATTTCAAACTATTGTAAAATTTTGCTGAAGATTTAACTCCTAAATTATATAATTGAAATATTCCAAAAAATTATGAATAACAGTCGTGTCAGTCAAATATGTTGCAGAAGTTTCCATTGAGGATTAAATGGCCAAATGATCTTTATTACGGTCGAACGTGTAAAATGGGTGGTTTAATCGTGAATGTCACGACAATTAATGACAAAACCGTTTGTACAATTGGTAAATGTTCAAATTAAATGTGTGGGATGATTTTTATTTCCTTAAAATTGTTACGAATGAGCTTCGTAGTGCCTTAATTGTGTGTGTGCTTTGTGATAAATAATCGAATTTTGTGGAAAGAGCGTAACTCAGTTCAAATTTTTCATAATACGGTTGATTGAAGCAGTTCTTATTTTTATAATTACAGGTGCTGGGTTGAATTTGTCGAACAGTAAGCCGACTGCCTGTATCAATGATTTCTTACCGCCAGATTTAAGGATACGACAAGAGGATTATATTGCCAATACCCTAAATAAATTTCAGTGTAGATTTTCAATATTATTGTTTGTAATTGAAATTCAATCAAATATTTTTTTTTGCGCATTTTCGAGTAATGTGGAGGACTAAATATTAGCTTATGAAGTAAGAGAGGACGAAACTATAGATTGAGTGTAACTAGTCTACGAAGTATGGAAACGCACAGACCAGATGATTTGTTAGTAATCCTTTTAGAATCATCTGGGTATGTTTGATAAGTAATTTAGCAATTAATAGATTGGAATTAATCAAAAGATTAGCACCGCAAACTTTCCTTTTGATAAGTTTCAAAAATGATATTAAGTCATATCCACAATGCAGTGATCACGAATTTTAGATGAAGTATGGTAGTACTTTTGTAGATTTCCGATGCTTTTTATATAGAGGAATTTTCATAGATTTCAAAAATTCTCATTGGGATGAAATGTCTCAATATCGTACGTATTGCAGATTACGTTGATCTCTATGAGAATGGGGGTGAGAATGCATTTCTGAAAGATTACTATCGATTTTGGCTACACAGGTATATCGTATCAACGAATATTACATTTTCTGACTTTAAAATGTTCAATTTTAAAATTATCTTTTTCTAAAAATTGAAAACTAAAAATTAGCTTCAAAGTTTTAAAATTTAAGACATTGTGACCCATTTCCCACTGGAGTATTAAATTATTTTGTGATTATTACTAATAGTGAGTAAATAATTAAATAATATTCTTCCTGAATTGAACTTTCAAATTGCGAAATTGAATCCTAATTCATGTTTGAAATTTATTAATTCCCGAAAAAATCTCTTTAATTAAATTTGGATCTTAAGTTAAATTTTGGACATTTGTAGTCGAGAAGAAGTAACTCTATCGGATACTAATGAAAAGGTTATAATACGAGGATTGGACCGTCATGGATTTTTGAAAGTTCGAAGCCGTCAAAGTGGAAAAGTAATGGTTGTACATCCAGACGGTAACACTTTTGACATGATGAAAGGTCTTATCACTGCTAAATATGCTTGATACTATGTTATTTCCTCTCCTAAACTGTTGAGTTTTTTACAGAGAATAAACCAAGAGTATATTTTAAAGAGCTCCACTCAAATCTCTTCCAGACAATTCTCACCTTTCCATACATTTCCCGGAAAATTCCATGAAAACCGACTGCTAAAACTTGTAACAATGAATATGTGTAAGAATATAATTGATTTTCCTTGTATCACCTGTTTTTGACACGAAACAAATAACCTCATTTACTCTTGCTACCATTTAGAACTAAGTGGATTTGAATGGTCTTATTTGTTGGAGCACATTTTCGCTTAATTTATTGTAATTTGTTGAATAATCTCATGTTTATAAGGACTGTTTATTTATTTGAATTTTTAATAAGCTGCCGTGTGAAAACTATCCCATTATTCAGGAACTGATAGTTATGGGAAGCGTGAATGTTTTTAATAGTAATGGTTGAAAACTTATAGTCAGAGAGTAGATGATGAATTCCATTGCACATTGTTCTTAAGGAAGTGTAGGATTGAATTTGAGAATGTAAAAAAAATTTAATTTAAGATGAAATCTGGAAATTCAAAAACCACCACACAGTGATTGCAGTTGTTCCCGAACGTGCATCCAGGCATTAAAATTTAATGGACCATAACTTTTCCACTGAAAGAAAAATTTATTAAGAAGTTTAATGGATCTAAAAATACAACAGTAGACAACGAACAATAAGCATCTTATTATATATTAAAGCACACAAATCAGACAAAAAAAAGAAACAAATGTTTAACATCTATAATTCTTACTTCGGGAATTAAATACAAGTTCACCTAAAATTCGGAAGGTTGATGTCTCATCCTTTCTGCAATCCATTTTCCGTAATCGGTCCATGCGGCCGAAACTGGTTCATACCACCATGCTTTGTAATCCCAACGTTCACCTTGCAAATGCTCTACACGTTGTTCGATTTTTCTGAAACAGCAACAGTTGTGTGAAATTCGTACTCGCTTTTATATGCTTTATCAAGTAACCGAGAAAAAAGAAAAATTGAACAAGCCTCCATCTGCTCAAGATATTTGCTTTCTCAAAATACGCAAGGTTACGTTCGTACTGCTCAATATCTGATGGGCAGAGATATTTTGCCGCCCACTGTTTCAGCTTCGTTCTTTCGAACTGCCAATAATGAACGACCGATCCATCCGTTGGCAAATCTTGTAATTCACAGGGTCCTGCATTGCAGTTATTTCAGTCATAGCAATCTGCTATTACAGCACGGCATAAAGACTAGTAACAGGAAGAATTTGCATTAAAATTGATTAGATTTCAATATTGTAGATGGATAAATTACCATATACGATATGGATAAATCCAAGGAGCAAAATCACTGGCATAATACCAAGGCCGACTACGTAAAAATGAGCGACATCCTTACAGCGATTGAAATAAAGCACTGATGGACGTCTGTAGAAAACTCGATCTGATGAAAATCTTACTGGTGAAACTGAAATATTTTATAATTAAGTTAATGTAATATACTGTTTGAAAGCAGTATGGTAATTTGACATAAATTTGAGTGGCTTCATTATATATTGTTAAATCAATGAAGATGGTAGTAAATACAACAAATCTCGAAAGGAATTTAGAACTAGAATGGCTCGTGAATTTAAATAAAAAAATTTTGGTCGGCAATGATTCGACCACCATTGGAACAGAAATGCTGTGCAGTACGCCATTACTACGTCTCATTTTAAGAATTTGAAAGTTGGATAGAAAAAAAAAATGGGAAATATAGGGCTTCATTACATTTCGATCCATAATAAATAGTCTATGTTTGGAAAGCTTTTCCATGCTAACTACGGATAAGTTAGTTAGTGGAGACGCTAAGATTTAATTAGGAATCCATTCACAAAACAGAAGAGGAGGTCCAATTTTTTGCAATCAGTTTAAGCAGTTCTTGATAAATGCAAAAAATTGTTGAAAGGAATATGAAAAAGAATCATTTATGGAAATAATTAAGTTCATCGATATAAATATTCCATCCATATTAAAATTGTTATGCATAAATTATCTTTTGTGTCTATTTCTGTTTTTAATTAGTCACACTTACATCAATCATTCATATTTACTTTCTAATGTCTTTACACCATTTAATTTATTTACTTACATCTTTCAGCTCAACCTTACCTGTGCATCAGAACAAAAAATATGCTTTAAATATACAAAATATAAATATTTGTAAATTTATTATCACTATAAAGATACATTGATTAGAATGTGCAAATTATGTGAAGTTTACCTGTTAATCGTACGATACAAAGCCACTGCTTTGCAAATTTACTGAAAGCTGCCATAAGTGTCTTCACACGTGACACTATTCCGTGTTCACTTTAAGTCAAAAACTGAAAAAAAAAACTTTGCCAAAAAATCAAAAAACACATGCATTAATTTTACAAATAGATAAAAGACAAGACATACTGGTCATCATTACTTTTGTCTTTTATCCGACAAATAAAGTGAAATCAGTTAGTTTGAAAACGTATTAGAAATGATAAAACTATTCTAGCTGTTAAATTAATTTTAAAATTGTCTGGAAAAGTTTGTTTTAAATTTTGGATGAAATTAAAAAAGAAATAATTTAAAAGATATTCCCATTGACCAAAGCTGAATCAAAAACCAAGTAAAAATTAGCAATTAATCAGAATTTATAACCTAATTCGAATATTAGTTGGGATAGCCGAGTTATTCCAAAATTTGAATAAAATAAATAAATTCATTTTAAATAAATTGCAATTACAAAACCCATGAAAATTAAAAGAGGAATTTTAGAATAAACGTTTTAGAGTAAACTATCATTCCTGCGATCCGCGTATATCTGCACAATGATTAATTAAAAGCGGGAATTTATTTGTAAGTTAAGTAAATGTGTATGAATAACCGTTTAAAAATTTTTAACATCTGGTCCGAAAAATCTGAAATTAATATTTCTTTAAGTAAATAACTACAAATTTACATTCCAATGCAATCAATATTAAGACTCTAATTCATGTATATTAAATAGGACCTTCTGCAGAATTGTATAATTCCAACCTCAACTTCGATTTCGATCCCCAACAGGCCCTCTCGCACCTTAGCCACCTAACAGGTCAACACCCATAGACAACGTCAGGTACTTTCGAAAGCTCAACCTCGTAGGAGTGTTAAGAATTAACACGGCCGAAGGGTTGTTCTGAAGACTCACTGCGACACTCAGGTTGTAAATTGTAGAACGGTTTCTGAGGAATCTCGGGGAGATTGAGGTGCAGAGAGAAAGTCTAGTTGTATTAGGGAAGTTGGGTGGTATGGTAGAGATTCAAAATTGGTCTGCTGGGATGGAACTGCATTCATGAAAAGCAGGTTAAATAAACGCATATAAATATACGCTTAAAAATTTCTAACATCTTATCCAAAGAACATGTCCAAGTAAATAACCACAAATTTACATGCGAATGCAATCAATGCTTAGGTATTCCTATCAAGACTCTAATTCATTTAGTATTAAACAGAACAAAAGGAATTTTTGTCATTGCGGTGTAAGCTTGTAGGGTAGTAGTAATCTTACTGCTACTGTATACTTCTATCAAATTTACTCTTCTTTTTTATTTTTCTCTTCATCTCTTCCCTTTACTTTTCACTTAAAGAGAATGTTTTAAATTGAGTGATAAACATGGACTTTCACTAAAAAGATAACTTCAACAAAATTCATCTATAATTTAAATTGATAAAATAGTTAAATCAATGTTAAAGTAAGAAATTTGCTTACTTTAAAAAAACAAATCAAAAAATTGACTGTGTGCTTTATATTGAATTCAAATCCGGTAATTTTTAATTAAACAAGTGCTAAGTAAAGTTAAAATATTATGTTAAGTGACTTTCATCAACAATTACAATTTTCGAATGATGATTCGGAACATAAGGACACTTTCATTTAAATTTTTATTTGAAGTCTTAATTTCGAATTTCAAATAAAGATAAGATGGTAGCTGTAAAATTTATAAAATTTGAAGAAAAAAATGAATCTCTCCATAACTTTGTTCCCCCTTATCAAATCATGGAGTGAATAATAAGCAGTATAAGTGAGTAAATGAATGAATGTGGTAAGATCTATTTAAGTCACTATAGCAAGTGATAAGTGATATGATTCACGTAATGTAATTCAGGTATCATTTTTGATTTTTATCAATTTATACAGCTTCGTTCTTCATTTGGAAATTTGAATTGCATGTTCAGTATTCCCGCATTGAACCACTGCTCCACATCATTCGAACGAGTGACATAGTCATCCGGAATACCGAGCACTACTTTCCTCTGACAGGGCTAAAAAATTTATTGTAATCCTGTTTTGTATTGGAAATAAATATGTACGGTAATAATTTGTAAAAACTCGATCTCCACCCCTTGTCATCATGTGCATGGTAAGACGTATGAATGATAAGATCGTACAGTGACGATATGATAAGGTTGTAATGATGCGATCGTAATTAAACGAGAAAAAATAAATGATATTGATAAGTACTGCAGAAAGTGCGGAGAACGCCAAAAAATAAAAATTCGAACAAATCTGCAAAATAAAAGAATCCTTCTTATTGTGTGATATCTAACCAGAAATCATCAATAGCCTCAATATTAGTAATGTTTATTTTACCATGATTCCATCATCGCAATCATGATAAATTTTCAAAACGACATCCAGCCCAAAGATTGCTCCAATGCCGCCTTTTAACTCGTAACTCCCGTCTGCATTCGTCTTCATTGCTGCTAATTGATCATCCGTGCCTAAAGTGATGAATTAAAGCTACAGTTTTCTTGTATTAAATCAAAGTTTATCATAAATTTGATATTTTAACTTTTAGAATTTTATTAACTCTGATCATTTTTTAAACAATATAACAAAATGAAAATACTATAATTATATTTAAATCTATTTTCAGGTTAATTTTTAGAAAAAAAAGACAAAATAAAATTAGCTGGTTAACTTAAAAGTTAGTTAATCCTTTCAGAAATTTCTGACAATAATTATATCAAATAATGATTGTGTTATCACCGACCAATTTTATTTTTATTCCACAATTTTATTTGTGTGTTTGGCAAACTTTGATTACCACATAGAAGACGACCTCGGACACCAACAGATTGTTGTCGGAAGCCTGTGACTGTTGTTTGTTGGTAGAATATGATGAAGAAGATCAGGGGTAAAAAAGCACTTTCTTTGTGCATATTTTCCCATAAAAATTGTCAAAATTAAAATTACGATTTAACTGGTAATTGCTTGACGATTATTTTTTGAGAAATAGGCAAGAATTTTGTTTGGATTTCTTATTTGTCCGCTTATAACATTTTTTTCTGTCAAAAGAACGATGTAATATAGAAAATTGTGATATGAATGGAATTTACTCCTGTCAATTAATTTCATTGATTCCTTGCTTGATTTGAAAGGTTGAATTGACCGAAGTTGACTAATGGATAAAAGGAGGCAAATGTTTTAAGAGAAAAAACAGTATTGATTTCAAATTTCACAATTTTATCTTGATTAATTAGGTGATCAAAATAGGAATATTGATTAATCAAATTGTCACAAAAGGTGTCGCAATTCAATAAGAAAGAAAGAGAGCAAGATGGGGAGGGACAATATAATTTACTGAGTCCCTGTCAATTAATTAATCAAAATAACAATCTTTGTTTTTACTCTATTCCTTGCACATTTGATTTTTGAAAATTGCAAACTAAAGTTGAGTAGGCTCGTAGTGATATCATTCATATCATTCCTAATTTTTTCGTTAATAGATCCTTCTTAAATACTTTAATACTTCATTATTTTATTACAATAAGCACTACAATTTTTTTTTTTAATTTTCTGAAAGCAGCAAAACAAATATTGAGGTTTTGTAAAAACTAATTAGCAAATTGATTAACTATAAATAACACATCTTTATTAAAATTAATAATAGTAAATTACAATTTAAATTTTTTTACCATAAAAGAAATAATGACAATTTTAAGAGGTGACAAAATCAAATGTATGATGGTGACTATCAAAAATGCAATGCAGTGATTATTTTGATAGCAAAATTTTGCGTGATTGATTTGTCTTTTGCTCTAAATGAGTCATAGGTATTTGCTTCCAAACAGGTTTTTTTTTTCTTTTTTTACGGATCTGTTGAAGTATAGTCATAAGGTCCAAATCTGTCGGTATACTTAAATTTTATTCCAACCCAATTTTTTCCTCTCTAAATTTTTACTGATTTTCAAATAATTTATGTGAAAATTTGAAATGCTATTTGATAGCTTTAAGTTCTAATATGAAAACTTGAAATTATTTTGAGAAATCATCTATTTGCATCAAATAGATGAAATTTTTGATAGAACCTCTAAACGATCGGTCAAAACTGAATGTTAGAGGAAATAGTTGACAAAATGTTTTTTTATCGATTTGATGAGTATTTGGGATCAAAAAAACTATTTCGTATTAGTTTTTAGGAGGAGCGATGTGTGCAAAGAGAGAAAAAATGTGTAATTTGTGTTGTTTACTTCATAACACAATGTTACGACTTGATTTAAAAAAATTTCATTGTTAATTTAAGTCTACATTTAATATTTAGAACTTATTAGATTTATTGCTTTGCATAGTTTTTCAGAAAGGAATAATAAATGAATTATCATAAAGTTAGAAAAATATCAATTTTTATACGAGTTTGTATAATGGTCTTTCTGAAGTCTGAAGCGAAAATGTTCGAAATTACTACAATTCTCTTATCATCAGTGATTTTGATAGCTGCTAACAGTAATGCTGTCGAACTGACAGAAACACAGTAGATCTTTATACATGATAAAATCACGAAGACACTAAATATTACAAATTAATCAGTTGATGTTCAATTATTCACACGCAATTTTTCCATGAAAACTGGTCATAGCGATACCGAATGCTTGTAATGCCGATAATGGATAACGAAAATCCATCGTAAATGCATCATAACCAATTCGACCAAACTGCATTACGATATACTTGGCTAGAAAAAAGTAAGAGAAATTGATAAGTATCGTATCAATTCGACTAAATTGCGTTATGATATATAAAAAAAGAAGAGTATATGTATTACTATAATATAAAGATCATCTCATGATAAAGTTAGTTTGACATGTTTCTATTTGGTTTTTATAATTTTACAGCTTTCTTCAGTCATTGGCTTCTGAAAGTGAAAATTGGGAGAACTTACGATCAGCATCATGAATGATTTGAAAGTTCTTTACTGATGGTTGGGTAACGCGACCATGGAAGTTAAGGACGTATGATTGAGAATCTATAAGATTTTCTAATTTGAGCAAAGAGTAGCGTTGTCAACAGTTAAACATTTTTAACTTTAATTTCAGAACAGGAAAAAAATTTTAGTGGAATTATTTAAAAAAGAAAACCTTCGTTCCAAACAGGGCTTTTGTTATGCATGGCTATCAAATCATCCGCTTTTCGATTCTTCCATCTTTCCAGAATTGATTCTTGTTCCTCAAAAATCAAAGTTTTGCAAAAAAAACTTTCAATCGTTTCCTATAAATTTTAATTGCAAGTAAAAGATTAAACTAAGTTTTTCTGAAATCAAATTCAAACGTAGGTTAGACTTATAATTCAGGCAATACATAAGTTTTACTAGTAGAGGTCGGATTTCTTGACGTCGATAATTTTCAGCATCGCAAATGCCGGGTATTAAAACAGTCATTTTACGCGGGCCTTTGAAACCAAGAACATTGGTATCCTAAAATATAAAATTCAAAATTTTGCAAGGTGATAGAACTTGGTAACTGAAATGATATGCAAATTAATAGAAATAAATAATTCGATTCACACAAAACACATGTCCATACATCTCATAATTTTTTGAATTTTCTTGTTTCAATTCTTTCAATTTAAAATTTCTGTAATTTTCTTTCATAATTCTATATCTTGATCTTATAAATATATTGCATTCATAATTAGCTTCAATGAAATATGCAAAAATTAGGGAGAACTTTCAGATTCCAAAAAATTTGAAATAAATCAAGCATTCCTACATAAATGACAGCTGCAAGTTCTTGTCTTATGGAATCACCAATGACCCATGATTTCTTCGGATTTTCACCGTTATCATACAATGTAAATTGTGTACCCAAAGCATTTGATCTAAATTTTGAAAAAATATTTATACTGAATATTATAATTTCGACGCATTTGCTCAGATCACTAATTACAATATTTGAATTTCTTTGGTGTAATTAATATGTTTTCGTTCAGCATAATTAAATGACATATTTCATTAATTACATGAAATACGATAGTAGTAAAGTGATGATTGGCTTAATTGGTTATTAATTAAAAATCTGTTACATTTTGATATGGCAACGGTTAGGTAGAAATCGATTAGTAGGTAGGTTTACTGCAAGGACGATTTAATAGCTAACATCAATAAACTGCTTATATGTGATCCCAAAATGTTTCCCCATCAAGAAATAATGAAACTTACTGAATATAAATCTTGCAACTTTCCTGATAGCACTTAGATTAATGCAAACCGAATTTATAAGCTCATAAAATATCAAAACTTAAATCTTCGAAATTCAAAACGATATTTACCTGACTTTTCCGACGAAAGAATTGCCGTAACGCCTCAAATCGGTTGGATCGATTGAAATCAAATAATTAGCTGTGGTGCTTTTTTTTCTTTTTCGCGCAGCCAAAAGGAAAATCTAAAAAATAAATTAGTCTTCATTCATATTTTTCAAAATGAAAATTTTTTTAGGATAATTTTTTTGCAAATTTAGAAAATATTAATTAAATTTCATAATTATTGTGCATCGAAAATTTATCTTTTAATAAAAACATTTGGATAAATTAATTATTTTTTAAAATACATTTGAATATCTTATATTATTCAGATTATCATCCGGTTATCGCTATTTATATTTATCGATGAAACTATCAAATTATTCCATTTAGACGCAATGTCTGGCTAAATTTTTGTAAAATATTTTAATTTTCAGCGATGTTAACTGGTCACAAAATCACGACATCTTAATTTTGTAATATTCCTAGTAATGTATTGTATTTCCAAAATTAATTTATAATTTTTATTTTCAATTGAATGTATGAATACATATACGTTTACATACTCTTTTTTCTTCATCCTTTTCAAGATGTAGATAATAGGTTGGATAAATACCGCGATCAACTCCCTTCTTGTCCCGAGTTATGCGACATTTATAAGTGACATTTCTTCTTGCTGGTGACGATACAAATATTTCCAAATTTGTCATAATTTCGTTCATATCTGGATTTTCAACCACTAAAATCATCCTTAATGATTTCCTTTTAAACATTTCAAATTTTCAGTGATAAAATTATTACTAGACATGAAAAATTAAAAATTTTAAGATTTTCTTTTGCCCATTGCTTTAATCAATGAAAAAGAAAGAAAAGGAAAAAATTAGTCGAAGTGTGTAAATAATAAACTTAAATGGTAAGACATTCTCCTCAATTTCATCTTTCCATGGTTCCACAAGCGGTTCATCGTCCGGTTCAAATATCTCACTTGTACTGTTTGGAACAAATGTTGTAGATGACAAATCGCACGTGGACTTATTGACGTCGTCTTCCGAAGAACTATAGTAGACTAGTTATTTTTAGCTTAAGTAATCTTGGTTGGAATGTAAAGAGTATTATGAGAGATCATAAAGAGTATTCTGTAATTTGAATAATTTCCAATTAGAAATTCAAAATTTTAAATACAACTTTATTTTTTGTATAATTGAACTAAATCACTAAAACAAATATATGTTAATCACATCAAATAATAACATTTTAAAGCAGTAAAAACGTCTTAAAAGGTTAAACAAAGCAATAAGATATAGTGTAAAAAATATGACTAACAATAATTAGTTAATTAATAGAACAATTTTTCCTTTTATTTTTTTTGTGCAAGCTAAATGCATTTAATTTATTCCTTAAATATTTAATTCATACTTCACAATAGCGAAGCATGAATTAAATAACGAAAAAAGAATTGAAGAAATAATTGAAAATGAAACTTTTGCCTCTTATTTATTAGTTAAAACATTATGCATTAATATGAAATATTAGATACGAATAATATTTTAAATGAATAAATAATATCCCATGATTGAGCCATAAATAGGAGTATGAAATATTGAAATTGAATATCAAAATGTTTATTAACTTTTGATGTCATGCATTATTGTAAGTATTGAAAATGAAAAAATTGTTTAAGAAACTAGACCTTTCGTTATACCGTGATGTTACGATTGTTGTAACGGTTGATCCGGAAGCCGTAGTTGGTGATATACGATCCGGATCTTCCGGTGATGTGTAACATAATGGTCCATTATAACCATGCAATTTATGACTACTTTTTGAGGTTGTCATACAACTCTTCTCCGTCAC